CCATAATAACAATGTGCCAGAAGCTCAAGGATAATAGCCTTTCTCCCTCTTCCTTTCCCCAAAAGCAAAAGGTAAATCCGAAGTAGGGAATGAAGTTGTGTGCCGAGAGGAGAGCGCGGAAAAGTTGGAAGAGCTTAAAGTTCGAGAGTCGGCTCAAGGCGATGAAATAAATTTAATTAAAGTCAAAGTTCGAGCTTTAGCGCGAGGCAAAAAGCGCGCGCGAGAGAAGAGGGGGTGAAGGGCATAAGAAGAAAGCACGAGGGTGAAGACGCGGAAAGACAGAGAGTTAATTGTTTCGCAGTCACTCGAACAAAGACTCGCGTCGAATATAGAGCGAGGATGGACGTGTGAAAGAGAGCAGCCATTCGTATTTAAATAAAAACGGTGTCATCCCGCTCCAGAACAATGTTCCGCCATAGTATGTAAGACCGAGTGTATTGGAAAATATCTTGTGAAAAAAGCACGGCAAGAATTCTTTAAAATGTAATACTTGGAAACACAAGATGTGTTGAAAAACCGATAAAGATTTTAGTTGAATTATTATCACGTACGTTATCTTTTATAATACTGAAAAGAATGGTTTGAAATTTAAAATAAAATGAAACGAATACAGTCTATTAGAATGATGAAACATATAGTATTGTACAAAACTAATTGCATCTAATAAAATATCCAAGTTCAACCGAAATATCTTGTACAAAAATCGTTTATCCATAATCATTGTATAAACAGCCTTTATTTCCTATTGTAAGAAAAAGAAGGAAGACACATCGATAACGATTGAATCACGATTTCGCTTTTCCAATAAAAATGGACGAGTTAAGTTTTTGTAATAAAAAATAAAAGTTTTATTTCTCAGAAATGAGAATATCGTAAAATGTTTTGGTATCATGTAAATTTTCCATTTAGAATATTCGATTTGTGTATTTGTTCCAACCTAGCAATTCGCGGCCAACTACGCAAACTATCTGATATTTTATAAATGTGCGAACATAACTTTAAAATATCATTAAAAGGTACAAAAAGGGACATACACATGTATATGTACATACTCTAACATCGACTGTATTAGGAAGTAAAACCCACGTGTGTTATACAGATCCATGTTACACGTGTATCATCGAATCTACGAATGCAAGATGCTTAGCTACTTGTCAATCTAAAAAGAGGGTTGGGGGGACGAGGGGTGAGGAGCGAGACACATTCTGAAGACGTTCGGTGTATATTATGTATATATACAAATGTATATATATACGTACACACACATATGCATGTATGTATGTATAGACGCATATATGTAGATGCATATGTTACACATAATGTGACATATTATCTGTCGAACATCTATTACGGGTGTGGAACGAACCCGCGTGTATTTATGCTAGTCGAGCAAATACAGCGAAATGTGTGTGTGTGTGTGTGTGTGTGTGTTTGTGACTGCATATATGCAAATATATGCAATGCCTATAATGACCCATTTTCGAACTCATCTGTCAAGATAGCAATGGTATTTTTATGGGAAAACTAATATTGTGCAAATTGAATGTTAACAATGAGAACGTTATTTATTTGAATTTTCTTCTCCTTTGTAATTTGCAATTTCTAAATATTAAATACTACTTTCGTAATAATATGTTAAGTTTTTACATATTATATGTATATACTCGTATTTCGTAAAAATATAAATATAAATATTGTTAATAAAAATTGTTTATAAAGTTATAAAATACACAACTTTCTATTAATATTTTCATTCATGTGTATAGTCTTACTTATTGATCTTATTTATTATTATCTTCCTAACAATGTAACTTATCATCAATCTTATTAAAAAATAAAACAATTCACGTAATATTCTTGCATGTAATATTTTAAATATATGACATTTCAAATATCAGATTCTTAGCACGAAGAAGGGTCAAAAAGCGCAATTTGCTCTAAATTTAGGGCTATGTCCAATTCATCGGCCAAGAGTTTCCAAACTAAAATGATAATCGATTTCTTTTAGGAAAATAGTGATGTATTAAACATGAGAATATATTTATAAATAAGTACTTCTCTTCAACTGAATTTACCATTCTTTTTAACTGAACAAAACAAAAATTAAGCAATTCTTTTTATAATTTTATGTAGCTGGAGTACCTTTAAACTCCTCTAGGTATACACGATGTATTAATTAGTAAAACATATTCGATTGTGAATTATTCAACTTTTCGTTAATTTGAAAGGAAGAAAATGTTCTTCTTGGTTGCCTTTCTAAAAATGAGAGAAACAGAGATAATATATTAATTATAAAGGTGAAAAGTTTAGAAACCATTGACCAAACATATGGAAATAATCAACATTGATAAAACGTACACTCATTCGTAAGAGAATCTCGCTAGTGGACCGAAACAGTTGAGCTACTTTTCGTTTCGATCCCTTTTCACCTTTCACATATTTTTCCAATTTTGCTAAACATTCACCCAATATTTACCAAGCATTTACGATATATCTAATTTTTAGAGGTCACATTTTTGCATATAATTATTCGTTTTTTTCGTATAATAATAAAATAATAATGTATAATATAGTTACATACGTTGCTTTACTTTTAGCAAATCTTACTATTTCCGGTTAGTTTATCTGTTCGTCCCAATTTTTCTATTTAAAACTTTTTTGTTCCAACCATAATCAATTCCAACACGAGAAAAAAATCAATAAACAGGTAACGATAATCGATATTCGATGCCGTCTGTTTTTAAAAGAATGGATCTGATTGAAATCCAGTACAATCTGATTGTTTGCTGATCGTATTTCACAAGTAATTTGTGAAATTCAATTTTTAGATATTGACCGTCATTATCGGCGACACGACCGTTTAATGCAATTCTTTACACGTTTCCCGTATTAACGAAATTCTTACGTATGCTCTTTCCCGAGAATCAATAAAAGCCAGTAAAACATTGAGGCAATACAACATCCCATTATTGTCCACTGCAGGACATACCATAAAAATGTGCGTACATTTTTTAGCACGTACCAATCTTATAGATGACACAAACAATGTCTCATTATGCGTCGCGTTAAGGTGTTGTCCTGCAGCTGCATTTTACATTTTACATTTGAGATCGATAATTGGTAATACATTTAAAATCTTTCACAAAATTATAAACTTTTAAAATAAATGTGTGTATAACTTTTTTTTAATTATTGGTTCAATAAATAATCGTCAAATTTATTTTTGAAAATAATCAATAATAAACCAAGAGTTGTAAGAGCCAAAGGCGAACGGTGATATTATATTGTAATACATACACACCATCGTTCGCACTTGATTCTTACTGTTCTTGGTTTATTATTGATCATTATCAACACAGAATCTGTACAATTGTTTATTTTTGTAAATCATGGGGGACGTTATACATATTTATACAGTCATTGTAAGTAATAATTTCATTTCATTGTAATATATATTATTCTTGCAAGCTTCTACGAAAAACTTGTCATATAAATAATTGTAGCAGATAAGAAATTTCAAAAGAGAAATTTCAAGTAGATGCTAAAGTTCGTGAAGAAACACATTTAGCAGGTCTAACTGATTTGAACTTTCAAGGATTCCCAGATGCTGTTGTAATTGTAATTCTTCCGATAAACGACGCTTGCGATTGAACGATCGATTACAAGTTATGATCGAAAAGATACCCCGAAAGAGATACAACATGATTCGATGATTTGCCTAGCTTGTACCGAATTATTGTTCGATGGAGTGAGAACGATGACGATTCGATGAAAGAGAAAACTGCTTGAGTCCACTGCGACGACAATTTGCGTTACCCAGAATTCTTATTTCGCAAGGAACGTCTATATGCATGGAAAAAAGTATTTCAATTTTCTTCAATCGCACGTTCTCCTTAATCCTTTCATTATTTTAAATACATATATATTATATTACAATATAAATTTACAACATAGTTATTTCGTGTTACGTAGGTATAATAAAAGCGGTTAAGATATTAAAGCGAGTTATTAAAAGTTACAATTTTCGTTTAGTTTACCAGTAACTAAGTAATTTTTAAAAAATACGATTACGCAATGAAAGGATTAAGATTCGAGACGATTGCTTCTATAACGAGAGTCTCTCTCTCTCACACACACACACACACACATACGCGCACACACACACGCACACATGTCCAACGTCAATAATTAACAAATCCTTGCGTTCTGGGTAACGTGACACGGTCCTTGCAGGATATGAGGTGCGAGCCATGTGCATCGACTATATGAAGTATACGAAATAGGTAAGGATGAACATCGCATCGTGATAACCAATGTGCCGAGTGAGCGAGGATAAAATATGATTATTGGTCTGATAAGTGCTTAATTAACCGATGAAACTGTGTGGACGGATAATAAATGATATTCAGTAACACCGATTAGCCATCGCTAGTGATATGTATGATGACTTTTTGATTCCTTACTCAACCTCGCTCCTTCGATCATCTAATGCAAGGGGTTGTCAAAGAAAGGACTCTAATTTATCTGTGTGCACGAGCAAAAATATACACAGGTGCTCCATTTTGCAGTCGTTACGAGTCGCTATGAGAAAGAAAATACCAACGGAATAGAATTTAATTCCTTTTTAGTAAAAGAAAAAAAGAATTTGTTATAAATTTTCACAACTGTCAGGGTAGAATTGATATTTTGTCCTTATGATACGGTGGTATTTATGAAAATAACATATTTAGTGAATAATGACAACCGCATTATACAGCACCTTTTGGAAAGAGCGAAAAGGCGGATAAATAGATCCTCCATGTGGCGAGAGTGCAAGACGAATAATCGGAAGTGGACAGAAGAAAGGGGAAGGTGTATAATTTTGTTGCAGTGGGTTATTGAAGGGGCATGTATTCGTATACACAAAGACATGTGGAGATGTAAAGTTTTTAACGGAAGATATAAAAGTACTGTCTGTCGTGGTCCGTGTAAGAGCGCTGAAGAGGGCCGGAGGTACTTACCCTGTGCATCATACTTACTGGAAAAGTTCCGCGTCGCCAGCATGGTTGTCAATATAGCGCCCTGCAAGCGAAAGAGAAAGACAATTATTATCTCTAATGAGATATCGAGATAGGATCACATAACATTACTTTCTTTTACGTAATATTTTCACAATATTATGTAAAAGAAAGTAATATGACGTATGAGAGGAAAATATCCAAGACACCAATTTCTCGAAACGATCGATACATTCTTTCAATCATCCAGAGATAATTATGCACGCCCGCATCAGATCTTGTATAGATCATTAGGTTAGATTAGTTTAGTACAATGCAGTGCAATAAGATAGGAATCGTAATGAAGATCCGAAAAAAATTTCTATTGCCGTCAATTACGATGCGATGGCCTTTAATTACGAGAAATAATTCCCGGACAAACGAGAGTACGCAACCGACGGGCGACCTAAAAGCGAGGTCGGATGATTACACGGAATTTCGCGTTCAAGTTTACTCGTAAACTCTCGTCTTTCATCAAGCTCAGTGACATTCGCGGCAAGTTGGAAACATTGTCGCACAGAGTGACAACATTTCACCGTGTCCCATAGCAAACAGTTCGAGATGCGTCGCCGAACTTTACGTATAAGGCCGTCCATTGGATGAGATTCGTGCAAACGTGCTCGGACGAGTATTCCACATCTGTTATCTCTAATTGTAAAACAAAATGATATTTCACCTCCTGCGCTTCTACTTCAAATTAGCAATCGGCAATATTACTCGTTCCAGTTTTACGATATTCGAATGCATCCACGTTTATCGATACTCTTCTACGAGCAGCATATTGTCAAATTCTGAAAACTAAATAGCGTCCATCCAAATCGTTACGTCAATCCCAAAATTTGTTTTCATTCACAGAGATCTCTATATCAGCTACCAATCATTGCATAATTTAGGATTTACAAGAAAATCTTTATGCTTTTGTCCGTATGTTATAAGACATTACGTGGATTACAAACTTTCTTCGATATTTCACAGTTATAAAAGTGCACTTTCATCTTTCATTCGACCTTTCCAAGTTACCGAGCTGCTAGCTTTCCTTTGGCAAATTTAATAAAACGTCTGATTTTGCTAATCGCGTTTCACTATAGTATTCGTAGTTACGAGTATATTCACAGTTGCGCATAAGCAGTTAATCTTGTAAATTTCTTACCGTTAAGCTAAAATGAATCTTGTGTTTTTTCATAATCGCTAATTGAGAAATCATCCGATTTGAGCAGATTGAGTGTTGTCGCAGGTTATAATCAATCGGGAATATGTATGTATCTATCATCCTATGTAAGAAAACTATAATATCGTCGTGAAAATGTCGTATTATCGATATTCGTTGTATCATCGTCATATTCAACGCTAAGGCGGCGACGCGACGCCGCGTTGCCAGACGTCAATCTGACGGTGATTAAAATTTCATTACCTCAGGCACGGTCGCCTCCTGTTGTCTGCACAACATGAATTTATTCTTTAGTGCCCGCATGTTTCAATCCGCGCGTGAGCGAACGAACGAACGAGCGAGCGGAGGGCGTCATTAAACTTCCTCACTCAGCATTTGCACTTTTATGAGTCGGGGTTTAATCGGTATTCAGCTGGTTGGTTCGACGTCGCTGTCATTTCTCTACGTGCTTGGCCGATTACCTGTCTCTAATAATACAACTGAAACTCGATAGAAGCGACGCGATGGAAGAGCAAAACGTCCTAAGTATCTCACAATTTCTTAATTAATTCTGTAATAATGAAACAAATTGATAATTATTAACTACAAAAGACATTATCATTGCATTCATTGCTGCATTAATATTGTTAAAATTAACTCGCTACCATTGTGTAAAATTGAGAACGAGAAGAAAATATTTTTATCGCGTCGTAAAAATATATTTAAAAAACAGATAATTTTCAGACACTTTTAAAATTTACTGGCCATTCATTCATTTTATTGGGAAAAGATGATAATTGGTTCGCTGTAATATTTTATTCTTGTCCAAAGGCAACTTTCCGCGCAAAAAATACGATCGCGGCGACTGAATAAATGTTAATTAACCTAGGTAGCCAATCACAATTACGTCACGCAGACATAGGCGATTCTGAGCTTGATCGATTTTGCGCACCCGCTCTAGTCGACTGTTATTAAGATAAACGCTATCGAGTCCATTCGCGAGAGAAGCGAGTTTTAATGTCAGTAATTCGCGCCGGTTTCGAAACACATTGTTCATCTCAACGCGCGTAAATTATCTACTTAAACATTATAGTAGTGTCGTTTTCCAGCGACGTAGCGATTGTTAGCTGTTAAGAAAGTTTGCGTAATTGGTAAGTTACAGCCTAGTTTCTGCAAATATCACATCTAATCTCTTTTGATATTTTTATGTCGCAAATACTTTTCGATCCATAAAAAAAATTGTTTGTACAAAGTGATATAGTCATGTACATACATCGAGTATAAAGAGATTGCTCGAATATTAATACATGTACGATATCTTTCAGCCAAAATTTTCTTCTCTTATTTACAAAGGAGAATATTTTACTTCCGATATTAAAAATGCTATTGAATTATACTCGTATTTGGTGATTTATTAACGTGCACGTGCACACAAATACGATTCAAATGTTATGCGGGGGAACGTGATAAAGCTTGTACACGTGTTGTTTAATCGCGATTGCGAATCATTGTTGGACGTTTAATAGCTGTTCATACGTCGTCGTTCGTATCAAATAATGAAATGTTTTCTTTGCGCTTTGTTCGAGCATTGAACGACGTACGTAGAGTGTCGTCGTGATTATGGCGTCCAATTGAGGCTGTAAGAACGAAGAATTAGGTCGAAATTGCCATCGTATCCAATTCTGCTCATAATTTACAAGGACATTTATATAATCCTTACAGACCAATGTTCCAATTCAATAAACGCTACTGTGGTTAATTAACAATAAGTGTATTTTTACATTAAAAAAGTATCTGTCACTACCGTGAGGACCTTCGTGGTCCATTTAATGCTAAAGTTAATTGGACTAATAAAGAATATTTTTATGTGCATTAACATTAATTAAGAGCTACGTAATATTAGAATAAGAAATTTAAGAAACTGTTTTGCACGTAGTACTTTCTTTCAAAACTTTTAGCTCACCGTACAATTATAGGATAAAAAACAATCTCGAACGACAAAGACGCACACTTTGTCGTAGAGAGAAGAAAAATAGAATAAGAGTTTCAAGAATTCATTGACAATTGAAAAAAATATTGCGAAAAATTGTTAGAATTTGCATTTGCGAAATCTGTCATAAAACTAATTCTAAAGAAGCATCCATAAATATCGTCAACCATTAATTATCGCAAAAGAAATTACAATTAATAGTATTTGAAAAATATTACAAACCACACTATCTTATATACGCTAATCATCGATAAAAGCAATAAAATCAAAGGATATTGATGGGGTTAAATGATTGTTCACGTTCTTTTCAACTGTTTCTACAAGCGTTCAATCCGCTCCGCGAATCTCGTACTCTTAGTTCCACAGTCAATTAAATGGAAACTCTTTGAGAGGGATACGCGTTGTCCTCGCACGTGCTTCGACGCATTCTGATAACAGCGAGCGAACGTTGTCATATACACACACACACACACACACACACACACACACACGTGGCTTCGATAAAAAGCCTCTCCGCTCGCGTACATCGAGAGTGCGACGATTGCAACAACAAGTGGAGTCGTACTGCTCGATGCGTGCCATCGTTAAATTGTCGGTGACTTGTCGAACGGCAGTGCCGTAAGAACGGCTCTCATAGATAAGGACAGATATCGTCGCGAGAGCTTATCTCTTTTAAGTATCGTTTTGAAAATTTTTGTAATTCTTCGCTAATTTCTTTCCACTTTTCAATCCATTTCCTAAATCATAGATATTCGGCTAAACTGAATGTAGATGTTGTTAGTAGAATCTTTAAGCCGAATAGCAGTGTTGAAAGTTAAAATAAAATTTTGTTAATTATTCATTGATAAAAGAAGGATTGTACACGTAGATTTACTCGAAATATCTTTCACTTGAATAACGTCTGACAAATTTAGTAGATTTCTTCTGAAATATCATAATGCATATTTTGCGAAATTGATCGGTATCTCTCTCATTCGATGATGCCGCCAGCAACGAGGAAAAATGGACAAGTCAAATTTTATCTTCGGCCACTATACGTCACGGTGTTCTAATTTTACAAATGTTACTAACATTCGCAGTCTCGCACGGACGCAATCCAAACCGCAACGTGATAAGCGGACATAATGGAATTTGCATTTGTAAATGGCTGGAGCTAATATATGAGATTTTGCGGCTGGCGAGAATGAGAATTTGCGCGATTATCGTCGTACATTTTCGTGTGCACGCTATGAAATTAGCAGTTGATAATCACGAGTCAAACAAGTTTCGACAAATCCCTCGACAATTCTCATAAAGGCTATATTCATATATCAATCGTTTCTTGAAATAAAATCTCTCGCAAATTTGCATTATTTCGCAATTTAACGATTATTCGGCATTTGGCTTCACTGCGGATTAAATGCGATCTTTTCCAATACTAATTAAGACAATATGCAACAGAAAGAATAAAAGAAGATAACGAAATAATCCGCATAAGCGTGTTTTATTTTTTCAAAACATTTAAATCTACGTAATATTCACGATGTTTTGGGTTTTATTTTACAAAGTGAAAAATATGTTTTCGTTTATCGTAGTAGCTAACTGATTTTTCGAGGTAACCGAATCATTTAAATAACAAACCGCGAATTCATCATGGAAAATCACAAAATCATATTATCAGGAAGATAGTAAAATTTATGGCAGAAATATATATATATAAAGCACATTGAATAAACACACAGAGCAAAACTTTTGAGTGACACTCACCTTTAACTTGCGCCTTGCATTGAATTTCTTCAAGCAGTCCACGGTCTCTTGTCTGTGCACCACAGATGCAACACGCTCACGTTGCTGAAACACAAAGTAAACGGGAAACGGATATCAGTCCCAAGAGGATTCAAGTTGTCCGATTCAAGTTGCCCGAGGTTAGATCTTAAGCCTCGCACGCTTCATTGAGAATAAAATTCTATTTGTGTGGAGAAGAGACGGTAAACTATGTCAATGTGAATAACAATGATACGCGAGAACATGGATGAACCAGATCAAACCACTCTTTCAGTCGTTTCAAAAGTTGAAACGGTTTTTTCCGTCCGTTTGACATCCATTATCGTCATCCACACACTTGTATGTGGTTGTATATCTAGTTACTTAATCAATCCATCATTCTCTATTTTTTATTTATCTCATCCGATTTGAATAACTATCGTATTTTAATCGTATCAAATTGCAAATATGACGTACGATATATTACATACATAGATATATGTATAGTAGAAATGCAATACTCGAGCGTAACAAGATCTCTGTGTAGTAATCTAATATGATATATTACGTTACTCTCCACAGTATATGTATAAACGTGTAATAAAAATTTGAATGAAGCTGTTGGTCGCGATAAGACAAACTTACGCAAATCCATGGATGCTTCAGTGCCTCGCTGGCAGTGATCCTTTTTCCTGGATTCACCGTCAGCATCTGATTGATAAGGTTCTTGGCTTCTGGCGTGACGGTGTCCCATTCTGGACTCGGATACTGCGCAAAACGAATGCAGAAACAATATGTTAATCATAATTCTTAGCCCTGAGGCAACTCAATAATGCTGCAACTACGCAAGTAGATGTCAACAAATTAATACAAGTGTGGCAAATGAATTTATTCTATATTAATATATAGAAATTTCTTTTTCCACAAATTCTTTATCTAACGCGCC